TTTCAGTTTTTGTTGGAACTTATTTCGTTGTACGTGTGTTTACTCGTAGCTTCTAACTCGCCCGTTGTCCCGTCATGGTGATTGCACAAATCATCGTGGATGAAAAACCCATAATGGATCATTATCAGTTTTCATGAGTTACTGTGGCGTCCCAGACGGATTCGTAATTTTAATTGTTTAATTGTAAGTTCGTAATTTTACCCGAGAGTTCTGTTTGAGTGACTCTTGTGTACAATCTTTGTGTACAATTGATTCCCCAATTTTCCCTGCTACAATTACAGCATGGACTGGGAAACGGGCATACCTACAATCAAAAATGTATTTCCTGTACCTCAAGTTTTGAATTCGGAATTTAGAACAGCCAATCGCAAAGTATGGTTTAGCAAAGGAAATTTCTGTTCCAAAAGTGTTTGTCCCCAATGAGATATGATAAAAATGATAACCGTGTGGGTCCTGGACAAATATCTTAGCACTGCACTGGATGAGATTTACTATATTTGACATGGTTTAGAAATTATGAATAAATGCTTGAAGAAAGGCTTGATAAAGGATATCCGCAATTCCGATGAGAATTGAAGTAGCGAATTACCTGAATAAAACAAGAAAATCCGAAAATACTGATGTCAATAGCAGTCAGTTAAAGTTTGAGTAAACAAAATAAAAACACATTCTCAATTAGATTCACTTTTCCTGTGCCCAATTAAATGAGCCGTTCATCAATGACCAGTATCAGTTGCGATCGAAACAACAATAAAGGTCGTCTTCACGCTCAGAAGAGAACACTGACACTCATCATTATGGTTTGCGTTTCTCGTCACTTTTAAGTGATTGAATCGTGATACATACAATAGAAATGATCCCTAAAAGTATGATCTTATCTTGCATATCTCTTAAGGTATGTTATATTTAAGTGCTTTCAGCAATCTGTACATGTTTTTTGATCACTGCATGACATGAGCTATTTATATCCGAATCAAAATGTTTGAATAATTACTGACAATAATTTTCATTTGTCATTATACAATGGTCGATTGAGTATATTATTATAATTAGATGTACGTTTGATTTATGATATACATTTAGGATTTTTTTTACACCCAGTCACTGAATACGATTTATTGACGTGGAACACCACGAGAAAGTGTTCGATTATAATGCCACAGTTTTTGGTTTGAAAAGTCTCCGACAAAAAGTGTGACGTTATATCCGATACCCAAACCTTTGAGTGAGGGTTTCCTAATCATACCAGGAATAAAAACTCTAAAATTGAAAAATTCAAAAATGGGTAAATTACAAGTGCACAATGCTAAATACGTGTTAGCTTTCTTAAATAGCAAACGATGAATCGTACGCTTTAAGATTTTCTCATGAATAATTATCG